ATAATGGGGTATTGTCACCATATTTATCGCATAAGTATTGCATTATAGCAACACTTTCAGAGAGATAGAAACCATCATCATCCAAAACGGGTATTTCTTTTTGGGGATTGATCTAAGTTCAGAAAGATATAGAAATATATAAATAAAATTTATAATGTTGTAGGAAATAACTAATTACCTTAGCATAATCCTCGGTTAAATGCTCCGAGGCTACATAATCCACATTATGCAATTCATAAGGAATGTCCAAAGCCTTTAGGCACATACGTACAGCCAAAGATGGTGGGCCATCGGATACCGAGTACAATTTCATATTGAATCTATTAATAGAATAAAACAAAAAATTTTAATACATACAAATATTTCGTCAAGTCATTAAAAACGGTGTCATTATTGGTTTCTTAAAATAACACGCATTTAAAAAATTCAAGGTTGTCTGAAAGTAAAATCATTACTTTGATATAATTACAAAAATACCCTAACAACACCCTTTCCAAAAATTTTTATTAAAATACTAAAACTTTTCTTTAAATTTTCTTTTGGCTATTTCACTACAACTTTCTAAAACTCGTTATTTATTTCTTACTTTTACTTATTTCTTGTATAAAGTGATGACGACTTAATACGTGCGGCAAATGATTCGATATTTAATGTATTCAAAACAAGTTATTTTGTGTTGTGGTCCAAACACTATTAATAAGAAAGAAATAAAAGCTTGTCTTTTTCTAGAAAAGCTTAAAATTGTTAACTGACTTAATGACCGGCACAGTAAAGCTTAATAATTTGTTATTGTAATTGTGATTATTGTGTATTAAATAAACATTATAGGGATTTTAATTGCCACCTACCAAAAATACAAAGTGATGATGCAGTTTATAGAACAAATGAATAATTTGCCCAAAATTTAATCATTAAAAATTTGTACACTTGCACTCAGACAGTAAACAATCTTATAATCTTATGCTTAAAACACATAGACAACAGCCGGCGGCACAGCAACATGACTACAATGCTCCTATAGTGGAACAGGTATCATTAGTTTGAAGTATATTTGAACTAACGTATGGAAATATTCCTCTTACATCCAACAGACTCGGATGATTTATATTTTGCTAATTTTTCGGACATTATGAAGGGCATGGTTCTATAAGAACCAAATAGGGAATAGGTCAGTCATAAGCCCCTCCTCTACATAATTAATTGTACATGTACAGTTGCTAAAACACAACTACAACAAAATTCAAATTCAAAATTCTTCAACTTACTTGAATTTCTCACGCTTCACCGATTTGCCAGTGCCCAGTAAATGCGCAAATTCCGGATTTAATTCACTCAATGATTTTCCCATAATATCTTTAGTTTTAATATCTGCATTAACCGCCGTTTTGGAAAATTCATTAAATAAACGTTTCTTTATGTCATTCTCTGATATAGGATGCGTATGCGAATTGCTCAGATGAACAACTGTCAATTGATTGTCTGAATTCGAAACAGTGGTAACACGGGCCGGACACTTAAGTATACGATCCTTCGACTTAATGCAGGCCCAATAGGTGCGTGTAGTGGGTGAAATACTTTTCAAGTGATAAATATAACCATCGACACACAGTAGTTCACCACCTTTGGCCGAGCGCAATTTTGTGGTTTTTGTTATATCAATGTTGTCGGGATTATAGGAGGCTACTGGTGTATTGCCAGTATATTTTTTCAATAGTGACTGCGTCTTACGCCATTTAGCACTGGGTTTGTAGTCTTCGTCATCATCATCATCGGTTTTGCGTCCTCGAGTACGCGTGGCCTTTGGTTTATATTCAACCTCAGCTTCAGAATCTGAACGATATGTGGTTGTCGTATTCAATCGTTCCATTTCTATGTACTCAATTACCGGCAGTGTTTCATGAAAAGGATCCACTTCAATTTCACTTTTATAATTCACCAGCGAAGCATGAGCATTTTCATCTAAAGTGCTCTCCAACATTATATGTGTTGTTTCCAGTTCTCGCTCAGTTTTTGGTTGTTTCATTTGCAAGAAGTCATTAATGTCGGGAGAATTTTCACGTGAAAACGCGGTATTATTAGTATCATCAAAACCTCCGGTATGATCATTATTGTCATCATCATTGTCCTCACTTTCGGAAGAAAACATTTCCATTTTGTGGCTTTGTAGTGATTTGTCTTTTACTTTTAGGTTTTGGTTTAAACGCTTTAGTATATGCTCACGATGATTAATCGAATGCTTGTGTTCACCCGAAACTTTCATAATTTTAATGTCTTTACCCACACCCTCTGTGGTTAAACGTGAATTACATTTGTGCACCTTATCTCGGCGGAACAAACAAGTCCAATAGGCCCGATCATTTTGAGAGCCTCGGGAGTCATAGTGAAATATCATGTTATCCATTATGAGTATGCGATTTCCTTTTAACGAAGGCAAAAAGGTAAACTTGGTTATTTCCCCATCTTTAGGATTGTCCAAAGCATCCATAACATCTTCCACCTGGCGATACAATTTAGAAGTGGCTTCGGCTCTTATGCGCCGTATATCGGGACGAGGGCTCACATCGAAACCGGAGGATATAGATAAAACATTACCACCACCTTTTGTTACCGACAAGGGTATACTTGTTGGTTTAATTTTTTTCTCCACTTTGGGCTTTTTATCCGGACTGGGAGCTAAAGTATCAAATACTTTGAAAGAGGATTTCTCCTCATTACCCTGCAGCACTTTAATATTGTTCCTTCTAATCAATGCCTCTATTTTTACCTCACTGTAGGGCTGGTGATTATGGGTATTTTCCTCTAAACGTATAGGCTTGAAACGATGCTGCCCATTAGCCAAACACTCGGTATAGATTTTGCCCGAACATTGCAAATCCTTGGATCTAAAACATTTCCAACGGTAAGTGGTGCTTATCATGGATTTGCCATCTAATCTATAGACACAGCCCTCCACAGCAACCATATGATGACCCTTGGTGGTCTTGAGCATTAATAACTTTTTCTCCTTCTCTTTGGGCTTTTTGGCTGTGGTTATACCCAAACTTTCTACCAAATCACCCAGCTCATCATCACTAGTGTCCAGTTTTTCTTTACTGGTATTATTTTCATCATCCCCATCACTATCAAAGTCCATTTTCTGTTTTTTAGCATTAAGTTTCTTCACCAACTCCTGTTTTTGATAACGCCTTTTGAGCGACTTGTTGCTCAATGTACAGGGCAAACCTTCAGCATCGGCCTGACGTTTCTTTTCCCGAGCCCTTATAATGGCATCCTGCTCAGCCGGACCATGAGGATGTTCTCCAACTATGTTTTCCACTTTATGGCGCGTCAAATCCCATTCATCTATTAAACTTGTATACATACGCACCCGACAGGGTGTTTTATCTTTACGGCGACTGCACACCCATCTGTAGGCTTTGCTGGTGCGATCATCATAATGATACAGATAATCTCCCACCAACAGCATATCCTTACCCTTAACGGATCGCAACATTTCCACTTTGGGGGATTCTTCTGCCATTTTTTAAGGGTTTTTTGTAATATGTCCCCCTAAGAAAAAATACCAAAATTACACAAAATATTTGTTCCCAATTCCCCTAAAAGCACACCGCAACCTAATAATTGTATAATTGTTGCAAAGTGTTCAATTAATTTATTCCACAATTTCCCTGTAATGTTTATTTAGGGATTATTTGATTTTCCAACTTAGTAGGAATTATTTCCGCACTTTTATTTTGATAATTCCCTCGAAAATTATTATTTTTGTCTTAATACTCTGCAATTTTTTAGGTAATTTTCACAATTCCGATGTGGCTTCTTTTTTTGTCATATCCAACAATTTTTTTTCTATACTTTTTTTCGGAGGTATTTTGTATGTGGGTATTGGTATTGCTGGCAAAACACGATGGGATTATTTTATTTACAAACTATTTCGGGGTATTTGTGGGGAAAAGAAAGAGATGGATATAGTTGTTGATATGTTGTTGTTTAGAAAATGTCAATTGTTGTAAATGAAGTGATGCCACTGAGAGGGGAATAAGTTCATGTGTATTTGAATAATAGAAAATACAGAAAATCTCCTTAGTGGGTATAATGTTTATTTACTTTAGTTTTAAACAATGTGGCAGGTTTATGCTGAGTTGTGTTGTTTACAGTTTTTAAGAAAAACAGGGAAAATTCCTATGGTATATGCATTTTTTTTGTGTTAATATTCAGACCTATTCTGATTATATACATAATAAATACCCTGGGAGTTTAACGAATAAACTCTCGGGTAATTATTGTTCATAATTGATCTGATTAAAGTTAAAAAAGCTCCAAATCATCAGTAATTTTACGGGATATGCGAATTTAAAAAAACCATGTACCTATTTAAAAAAAATCTTGGAAGATTTTATTTTTTGCCGTTATTCATAAAATAAACATTCTTGTTTTACCACAATCAACAATATATATTTCTTTAATATGGCATCTCTATAAAAGAATGTGTGGTCGATTTTTGTTATTGTTTTTATTGCTATATAGAGTTGCCGGGTATTTAGTAGGAAATTACCATACAAATTTCTAAAGTTCACTAGTTGAAGTCGACTTTTCGAATTTTTTCTTTAATATGCATGTAGGTATTTCAGTTCGTAACTGAAGATTAATTCGTGAGAATTATATTTATAAAATGAATTAATTTACAATCAAGTACAAAACAATTTAAATTAAAAAAAATCCATATTAGAATTTTCTTTTAAAATTATTTCCAAAATTGAAAATATTTTTAAAATTAATAATCTTCAATCTAAAAAGTATTTCCTTTTTAATAACGTTTAATATTGTTCAAACTTCTTTTCGGTTACCCTAATGATATTTATAAATTACCTACCTTTTAACAATATGATCGTTAAAATTTGGCAAATGTATGGCAACACTAAAAAGATTTATGCATATAAAGCATTTTTTAGCATATTTCCATGGATTTGCATAAAATGTATATACATATTTACATTATTTTT